GCAACCTGTGCCAGGGCCTGCCCACCCTCACAGGGAAAAAAATCCTTCCCACTATCCCATCTCTCCCTGCCCTCTGGCAGTGGGAAGCCATTCCCTGTGTCCTGTCCCTCCAGGCCCTTGTCCCAAATCCCTCTCCAGCTCTCCTGGAGCCCCTTTAGGGTGGAAGGGGCTCTCAGATCTGTAACCACCCTGTCAAAAGTCACTAAATTTGCCAGGCACAGTTTTCCCTCAGTGCAGCCACTTTGACTCTCATGAGTCACCTTCTTGTTTTCCATGTGCCTTAGCTTGTTTTCCAGGAGGATCTGCTCCACGATGGTGCTGGGCACTGAGGTGAGCCTGGCTGGCCTGTAGCTCCCTGGGTCTTCCTTTTGTCCCTTTTTAGAAGGATATCAATCACACAGAGCATAAACTAGCACAATGCAATGATCAGCTCTCCCTGGCTCCCAGAACTGGTCCTTAGGGAAAAGGGACTTTTTTCTTTGACTCTTTTCCTTTTATCTGCCTCTGCAAGTTATTCCATTACGCAGGAGCTGGTCATGACTTCCCAATTAGGGTTGAATTTTGAAATAGGACTGGGAGCCTCACGATAAGCCTGTTCCTCTCCACGTGTACCGTGGCCTTTCAATGGGAAACATCACGTAGGATGAACATTACGCAACTTGAGGTTTTTCCCCTCTGTAGTTTTTGTTGGTTTCTTTTAATTAATTCTTGACACAAAGGGTTTGAAATGGCTCTGGGGGCAGCCTTGGTTGTTTTGATGCTGGGCCTTTTTCATGGCGTGGGGGAACCCACACAGTGCTGAGTTATTTCACTTGCATTGCAGAGGTGTTTAAAGGGACACTGGAGGCTGATTTATTGTTGTAGGGTTGTTGATAGTTGATGAACAGCTGTTGTTATTTATCCTTAAAAAACCAGTGGCAGTGGATGCAATAACTTAGTCTGCTGTCCCAGCCCCCTGTCTGTGCCCACCACAGCCCTGGAGTGCTGAGCAGGACAGGATGGAGCCTCGAGAGGCTGCTTGGAATCCAGGTGAGCAGCAGAGCTGACATCCCATCTCTGCTCCCTGGAGAGCCCCACAGGAGCTTCCCATGAGTGACAGCCACCCATCCTGAGCTGGGAAGGCAGGGGAGATGGGGTGAAACTGGGAGAAAACTTGAGTTACGAAGTTTCTTTTATAAAAAAGCACTGGGAAGAGGGTACACCTGTGTATTTGTATCCAGTGCACATTGGAAAGATGGGGAGGAGATGGACCTTTTCCCATCAGTGGGATCTCAGCTGTTCTCCACAGGAAGGAGGTCAGGTATTTCAGGCAGGAGAGTGTTTTGGGGAGAGTCCCATGTGTCTGAAACATAGTGAACATCCTCCTTACAGGTGACTGGGCTAAAATAGGAACGCTGCAGAGTTTTCTAAATCAACTAACCATGACATTTAATAAGTTTGTGGGCAAAGCCAGTGTCACCCCCTGTGCTGTTCCACCCGGCTGTCACCTGCACTGAAGCAGAGAGGATCCAGCTTGGGGTGGTGGCACTGGGACACAGGACACAGCTAACCCTTTAAGTGCCACCTCCCCACGTCCCAGCACAGGCACAAGAGGATTTGAGGGCTGAAGGTGCGAAACCAGCATCAGACCACAGGTCTGTCTCTCGAGGTTGGTGCTCCTGGATGAGTACAAGAGCTTGGGGAGCCCACAGTGACGCACTGGCATCCATATTGCAACGTCTGCCCGAGTTTGTCTGTGATTATCCCTGGTTCTAGGTGGGGAAAGCCTCCTCCAGTTCCAGTGACTGGCCCAAGGTCAGTGGCAGAGCTGGCAGTGTGCCTCAGCTTTTGTGAGTCATGGTCCAAACTTCAAAAGATGCCCTGGAAGAATGACCCAGGCTGGAATTTCAGAGAGCTTTAGAGGCTAAGACAGAAAGCAGGAGTGTTTGAACAGCACAGTGGGATTCATCCTTCCAGCAGCTGAGGCTGGAGACCGTGGGGTGGGAGGCACCTTCAGCTTCCTCTGGGTCCAATGAAACTGTTGCAGTTGTTTTTAATCTAAGGCAGAAGTCATCTAGACTAGAGCTGTGTTTTCTGTCCTTTTGGGAACATGAATCCTGGCAGGAAAGAGCAAAAATTTCATTAAGGAAAAAGTCTGGACTCCTGAGATTCCCAGATGAGGAAGGAGGGAGTGTTCCTGCCGTTCACAAAAGGCAGACGGAATTTGAGAAATCGTGGAAGTTTGCAAGCTTGCTGCTTGCCTTGGAGTTTCAAAGCCTTTGGGATTCGTGATTCAAGCTTACACACGCAGTTGTTACGATTAGATCTTTCCTCCTTTATGTTTTAAATAAAAATTGAATTTTTTCTCATGATCATCTGAGTCGAGGAGGTAGAGCTTTAAAAGTGTGCTCTGTTGCCAGACTGGCAGGAGTGTCATAGAACTTGTTAAAAGCTGTTCCAGTTGGGTTTGGGAAAGCTGAAAAATCCTCATGCCCCTCATGGCATCCCGTGGCTCTCTGTCCTTCCCAGGTCCCATTTTCCCTTCTGAGGGTGCCCCCAGGTTTTCCCAGCAGAGCAGTGGGTGTTACTGATACCAGGGGATTGTCCCCTGAGGTCACTTACATCAGCATGGCCAGAGCTCAGCACCAGCACTTGGGCCTTTATTTTTCAGCATATAACCCACACATGGAGTGTTGCTCTGCCTCAGTGTACCCAGAACCTCTTCCAGAGCTCAGAGGGGTTGCTGGGAAGAGCCATGTTTCCTAACCAGCTTTTGGGTTGTTTCTCTGAAAAGAGACATGCTTCTGACATTTGTTTCAGTGTGTCAGGAGAGCTTTTCCATGCCAGATTCTCCTATATTGAGTGGGATTAGATCCATGCCTTCCCTTGCAGTGGCTCAGCCAGGCCTCCCAGTGCTGCTGGACATCCTACAAAACCCCTTTCAGAGATCCATGTGCAGCCCCATAACTGGGAGACAGCAGGAGCCTATCTGTCTTAGCAGCAGATGGCTGGAAAAATCCATCCTGAGGCTGGAGGTGAAGCCCATCCTGAGGGAAGGACCTTGGGAAAGGCCTGCAGAGTGCTCCCAGGGTTCCCATGTCTCCCAGCTGGCACAACAGGGCCTGGCTGGGGTCTCTGACCTGCCCTCTCCCTCAGCTCCAGCCCTGGCTTGGCCTCTGTGAAGGTTTTGGCACATCCCTCTGCTCTCCTGATGTGCAGCAGGAGGTTCCACGTGTCGGTGCAGGGGGACAGGCAGGGCACACGTGGGCACAGCAGGCAGGATGCTGGATCCATTCTGGCTCTGCCACTGGCTCACCTGGGCAGATGGGCTGCCTTGGGATGCACCTGGCACTGCTTGGGCACAGCCCAGGGGCAGCAGCTCAAGGCAGGGCTGGTGGCCCAAGGAAGAGGCATCTTGGTATTTAAATGGGCACTGCTGCCCTACACCCTCATGTCCAGCCCCCAGCAGCTCCAGACACTGGGCACACTTGGGAATGAGTTTGGCTTTTGATTGCTTTGGGGTTGTTTTATCCCCCAGGTTTGCAGCAGCGTTGACATTCTGCTGGAGAAGAGATGGGTTTGGGGGTTTATGGCCTTTAGAACTCCCAGTAGGATGGCAAAACGTGGGAGCTGCACGGGGTGGTTTAGCAGATCACGGTGTTGGTTGGGAAAGCAGGGAAGGAGCATGAGCAGGTTTGGGGGTTTTTACTTCACTAATTTGCAGGAACACTGCCCTTTACAATCTGTTTAAAGCCTAATATAAGCTGAATAATAGGAGTGTATGAAAAACTATTAACACTGAAGGGAAGCCTGGAGATCAGGTTAATGGTGCTGTTAGTTCCCCATGTGCTGTGTGTGTGGACAGTTCCACTGCTCATAGGTACATGAATTTTTATGTTTGAAAGTCCCCAGTATTTGGGCTTTAAATGCTGAGAAGTTTCTTGATTTCCATCGAAGCTGAGGTGATCTATGTAAGACAGGGACGTTTCTGTCAGCTGTAAGCTTTATTTAATGTTTGTTTACAAACTACCTTGAGCCCAGTTTGAGTCAATCAGAATTATTTTAGTCAGGTTTTATTTGGGGGAAAAGGTAACAGAAGGAGGCCCTTGCTCCGTCTGTTGAGTGCAGAGCACAGGCTTGCTCAGAGACACAGACTAGAGAGTGTGTTAACTTTTAGTTTGCAATTTCAGTGTAGGTTTTTTGTTTGATGATGGAAAGAAACTTCAGTGTGCTGCAAACAGAGTGGCACTTTTTCATTGCTTCTTGTAATTATTCAGTTGTAGAATATTCAGTGCTTGGCACCCCTTCCCAAGCTGCCCTCAGCCCCCAGGTTTTCGGAGGCTTACTCAGTGCTGTTCCTGTGGGTTGGGGATCCCAATCTCGGGATGCTGAGAGGGGGGATTTGCCTGAGTCAGAAAAGCTGTTCATGTGAACTGTTGAGGAAATCTGCTGTGAAATGAAATCAATGCTCACTCACATCCCCTGGCCTGGGCTGTTACAGAAACCCCAGGAAAACAGCCTGGGGGTTTTCTGATGTGCACTTCCATTCACATCTCTGAACCGACTCATCTTGGCCTTAAATCAGCCACCTGGAAAGGGCTTATCCCTCCTTCCAGAGGACCCTCCTGTTCAGACAGACCCCAGGTGGAGGTGGGCAGGAACTGGCACAGCAGTGCTTTACCCCAGTACCTGCAGTTCTCCTCAGACTGGTCTGGTTTACACTCGCCCGCCTTGCCTTGGAGCACGTGGCAGCATCCAGGGCTCAGCCACCCTTTCACGTGATTATTTTGTATTTGGGACCAGAACAGCCAACAGCTGCAACCCCTCGCTCATGGGCAGAGCTGGGCAGTGTGTGGGCAGCCTTTGGGGAACCCCAGAAATGGGCTGTGTGGGCTGTGAGCCCTGCTGACCGCCGTGGGGGCAGGGAGGGAGTGGACCTCCCAAAAACCAGCCGACCCTGACTCGTTGGCTCCTGATGCTGCTGTGAATAAGCCCTTTGCTCTCCCCTCTGCTCCTCACAGCTATGGGTAAACCAGGAGGATGGGGTGGAGGAGGGGACCAGCGATGTGCAGAATGGCCACTTGGATCCCAGCGCCGACTGCCTGTGCCTGGGCAGGACCGTGCAGAACCGCGACCAGATGAGAGCCAACGTCATCAACGAGATCATGAGCACCGAGCGCCACTACATCAAACACCTCAAGGACATCTGCGAGGTAGGGCTGGGACCCTGGGGGCTGCCCACAGGGAGGCTTTGTCCAGGGGCTGAGGGTTTGTCCATGGGCTGTGTCCCTGGGAACTCAGCGGGACACAGTGGGCTGTCAGGAGAGGTTTGTCCATGGGTTATTTGGGAAAAAGCCACAGTGCGTTTGAGTGGTGTGTCTATAGAGGAGCAGCATCTGTCGATAAGTATTGATAGTTCTGAGAATTTTCTGCTGGATCTTATAATTCCTTCAGTTTGTATTAACTGAAAGTACAATTTCCTGCCCTTTATTCCATACCTCTTTGACTGAAACATGATGAGGTTGAGAACCTTCAAGCAGTCCTCTTAATTAAAACCCAATGCCATCTACTTTTGAACTTGTGATTGAGGAAATGAGGTTGTAATTAAACCAATCAGTTACCCATGTCATCTGTGCCTCTCATATCAGGTTCACAATTTCCCCTGGCTCAGGATGGCCCCCAGTTGCCTTTGCTTATGGTGAGACTGATGGAAAAATGCTTGCACCATGAGAAATGAAGTACATTAGATTTATCCAGTGGAAGGAAACCAGCAAACAAATGGATTTTAGTGACTGACCCCACTCATCCCCGATTTCATTCTTCTTCATGATGTTACAATTAACCTCTACAACCCCTTGCGTGGGATTAGTGCCCTGAGCTGAGCCCAGCATGCAGAGAGTGTGGTGCTGGGTGTGTAGGGAGGGGAGTGCACAGTTGCCCTGGGAGGGCAGCAGGACAGCTTGGGCATTCTGTGGAGAGCACGTACTTATCTCTGAGAGGCACAAGTTTGCTAGCACCGAAATCAAAGCCCATGGATGCCTTTCAGCTCATCCCTTGGAATGTTTAGGATTTAGTGAGCCTGTGCCCAGTCAGTGTGGTGAAGCCCCTTGTGGATTCTGCTTAGAAGAATGTCTTCCTCCCTTCCTACTTGCTGCCTGTCTCCTGATGAGGCAGAGCAGCCATCCAAAAAGCATCTGTGACTCTTCTCAAATATGGAAGAGTCTTGGGATTTCAATTTGGAAACAAATGAGCTTAATTTCACTGTGCTATTTCAGTCAGGGAGCTTTGCATTGGAGAAGGGAAGAACTGCAGGCACTTTTCCACATACCATTTCTTTTTCTGCATTTGCACTTTTCTGTCAAAAAACTAAATAAACCTTAACTTGCATCTCCAGCCACGTCACTGTGCTTCCAGCCAGGTACAGGTGCAGTGACATCCGTGGGGTGACACTGATTTACTGCACCTAATGGTGTGTCCCAGTTAGGAGAGGGATCTGGAAAGCTCTTGCTTTGCTCTGTGTGATACAAAATGGTATCGAGGGGATAAATCTGACCTCCAGGTAGGGCACCAGGAAATGATTCAGCTGCCTCTGCTAAGGAAGGAGGAGGACTGAGATGGGCATTCTCATCTGTGAAATGATGGGTTGTGCCTCGCTGCAGAGAGCCTCGTTGTGCTCAGTTTAATCAGAGCGATCCCTTTTCCTGGAGAAGGCCCGGAGACAGCTCTGTCATCCCGGGCATTTGGACACAGCGTGACTGGAGATGCAGAGAGTGGCTGGATGGAGCTCCCAGTGCCCCTGATGGATAACAGGTGTGATTTGTGCCTCAGGACGAGCAGGCACCACACAACGCCCGATGAGCTGCAGGAGTGCTCTGACAGTGGCAAATTCCCTGCTTCCCTCGGCTCTTTATTTTAGGGTGTCAGGCGGAACAGCAGCCCTGTGAGGCATTGGAGGGGGTGGCAGAGGGGCCCTGGCTGGGTGGCAAAGCCTGAGCCTGATTTAGTGCTGAGTTTAGCAGTGTGTGGTCATGCTCTTGTTGCTGAGCTGTAATGAATAACAAATCCTAATACCAGAGAGGCACTTTAGGATATGTGGTTGTTACCAAGGATAGTGATTAAGAGCCCTCCCATTTCTCTCTTCTGCTTCAGAATGTATTTCCAACACCTGCTGCTCAATTATTGTACACCATGTTATTACTCAGAACACCCCTGGCATGAGCCTGGCCAAGCCAGGAGCTCAGGAGCTGGCAAACACCAGCTGCTTGGAGGGAGTTCCCCATCCCACTGCCCCACTGCCCCCGGGGATGGTGCTGTGCCCTCACTTAGGGCATGAAGGACTGAACTGCTGCTGGGTGAAACACTTCTGTGGAGATTTGTGCTGGGGGTTAAAAGGTGGAGTTTTGCTTGGATTGCATTATCAGGAGTGGATGGATCATCTGAAATATCACCAAAGGGAAAAATTGGAATGTTCAGCCTGAAGAAGAGAAGCTTTGGGGTGACCTAAGTGGGGCCTTACAGGACCTGAAGGGAGCCTGCAAGAAAGATGGAGAGAGACTATTTACAAGGGCCTGGAGTGACAGGACGAGGGGGGATGGCTTCAAACTGACAGGAGGCAGGGTTAGATGAGATATTGGGAAGGAATTCTTGGCTGGGAGGGTGGGCAGGCCCTGGCACAGGTTGCCCAGAGAAGCTGTGGCTGCCCCAGCCCTGGAAGTGTCCAAGGCCAGGTTGGATGGGGCTTGGAAGTTGGATGGGCCAGTGGAAGGTGTCCCTGCCCGTGGCAGGGGGTGGGACTGGATGGTCTTTAAGGTCCCTTCCAACCCAAACCATTCTGTGATTCTAAGATGATTCTATGAAAAGAAAGAATAAAGAACTGAGCCTTAAGGAAATACCCAGCAGTAGGAATTTCAGGGTTAGCACTTAATGCTTAGAAAAGAAATAAACTACTAAAAACGAGTTTTTTAGGAGGGGTAGCAGTAACCAACCTTACTGGCAGGCAGTGCTGTTCAGCCCTGTACTGTAAAGCACCACATCCTGCTCCCAGGTAACAGGGGCAGGACAAGCGGGAATGGCCTCAAGTTGTGCCAGGGGAGGGTTAGGTTAGATATTAGGAAAAATTTCTTCATGGAAAGGGTTGTAAAGCATTGGAACAGGCTGGCCAGGGCAGTGGTGGAGTCACCATCCCTGTAAATGTAAAACAAATGTGTGGATGAGGCACTTGAGGATGTGTTTTAGTGGTGAGCAAGGTGGTGGTGGTGGACTTGATGATCCTGGAGGGCTTTTCCAATCTTACTGATTCTGTGATTCCATGATTTCCTGGATGTGTGGCCATCTCTGGGCTTGAAAAGAAACCTGCTGCCCCTGGGGTTTGATCCTGGGAGGGCACAGGGTCTGTCCAGGGCAGGAGCCTCGGGGGGAGCAGAGGGGAAGGGAGGGGGTTTGGTTTGGGGAGTGCAGGTGGAAGAACCAGAGGCAGAAGGAAGAGGAGGGTGCCAGGCTTTGAAAAATGAGCAGGATTTGGACTAACAGAGGGATTAGGAAGACACAGCTCAATTTAAGGAGGTGTTAGAGGCAGAAGTGACAGGGCTTGGATGGGAACAGCGAGGCAATTGAGAGATCAAAGGAATCCTCCGTGTTACAAGCCACTGGGAGGTGGGAGGTGGGAAAGGGCAGCCAACTTCCAGTGCTGCATTCTGCTCTTTTCCAAGTAATTTCGCTTTGAATTTATTTTTTAATAATGTCGACTGGATTCCACCTCAGCCTCGCCTGGGTGCCAGGACAGCTCTGAGTGCCGCATGGAACACCTCCTGGTCGCAGCTCAGCGTGTCAGGCCGGGGCCGCTGTGCGGGGCTGACGAGACGAGCCCCCACGTGGTCTGGATCCTTCAGCCTCACTCATCCTCAGAGATGGATGAAAAGCACTTTCTTGTGCTGCCTCAGAGCGAAGCAGCAGAAAACCTGCTTGGCAGCAGTGGTGCCCTCCCTCAGAGGCCCAGGGCTGAGGAGCTGCTGCTTCCCTGGTGTGCCCAGTCTGTCCTCTGTGGATACCAGACTGGAGGGTGACTGCAGAGAGCTCTTTGGGTCTGTGCTGCATATCTGTCTTGCACATCTTGCTTGTCCACACCTTGTTTTTCTGCTTTGGATCTGGCTGATTGTTGCCCTGTTGAGGAACAAGCTTGTGTTCCTCCAGGACTTTGTTCTATATTTTAGTGCAGTCACAGTGCCTGACATTCAGTGGTGGCTGTAACAGGTATTTGAGTAAGTGCTGTAGAATCCTGGCACCAGACATGGCTCTGGTTTGCCTCTTCAGTTCAAAGAGTCTCAGCTTTGCTCTTGTGCTTATTCTGTGTATTTGCATATCAGCACCACACTCACCTGCATGCTCTGAACCCTGCACAGTGTTTTATAACCCAAATGGTGCTATAAAAGCTGAGGGAGGTTACAGGGCATTGTAGACAGCCCTAAAACAGCTCAGAGAGGAAAAAAATTGGAATATCCTCACAGCTGCCTTTGAAGTTACAGCCTGCAGTGGCTGTTACCTCCTCGTTCTCTCCTTCCCCCTGCTCTCAGACAGGCAGCAAGGATGGATGGATGGATGGATGGATGGATGGATGGATGGATGGATGGATAGATGGTCAGTCCAGCTCTCCTAAATCCACTCTGGGGTGAAGAAAACTTAGCACTTAACCTCCTGCAAATACTTTCCAACTTTGGCCTATACTTTAGGGACTACATGGAAAAGTACTTTAAAGAGAGACAGTTTGGCCGCTATTTTTAGGTATTCATTGAGCAAAACACTCTTCAACATCTGCTCATCAGTCAGCTATCCCTTCTCTGAGCAAACCTGACGGGATGAGCAGAAGGAAGATGACATTGTTTTATGTAACAGAAGTAAATTTAGTGGAAAAACTCTGCAGCAGCCTTCTAGCTGCCTCTTGCTGTGTGTTATATATAAATCTTCAGCCTCCCTTTTCCTGCTTGTGCTGGAAACCACCCATCCAAAGGCACTGGCTGGATAGAGAGAATAAGGCTTGGGAACTCCACACATTCCTGTATTTTCCCTGTGCTTTTACAGATGCCTGTGCAGAAATGTGCTGCCTCAGCTCCTGCAAACACGTGACTGTGGCGAAGGGATGAACCAGCACAGGGAGGACGGGAATATGGGAGGATGGGAACAGTCAGGGAAGGATGGGAACAGTCAGGGCGGGAGTCACAGCCAGTGGCAACCCCAGGGCTGAGAGATGTTCGCAGGAATCAGGCAGGGAGGGATGTCACCGAGCAGAGTGGGAGGGCAGGCTACTGCCTGCAGGCAGCCCGGGGCGGGCACAAGTCCCGGCTCAGGCGGCTCGTGGGCATCGCCGGCACCGCCGGCACCGGAGCCCTGCCAGGGGCAGCCTGGCCTCGTGGCAGGGCACAGCTTTTTCTCTGGGTGTTTGCAAAGCCATTCTGAGATAAGCAGGGAAACATGAGCAGCAGCACGGATTGATGCTCTGCGTCGTTCCTCCCGAGTCTGAGTTCTGGTTTGCCCCGCGACCGTCCGGCAGCGTGGGAACCAGCCTGCTCCCGTTCCTCCTGGCCTGGAAAAATGAGACAGGGAAACCCAGGGAAATGAGTCATCAAGGAGCTCCTGCAGGAAGAGAGACCTGGGTTAGGAAATGCAGAAGGTATTCTGTAACTCAGGCTGAAAAGCCAGGAAGCTCAGGGTAACAGCGTCCTCCGAGCTCAGCTGGACATCACAGAGGTTGGGTCCTGGCCAGGTCGGCCAAAGTTGCATTTCTCATTCGTGTGTTTGAAGCTCTCCCCACCAGGAACCACATGGTGAGGCTGAGGGAAGGTTTATTACAGTGTTCCAATGGTTGATTGTGGCCCAGCAGCTGCGTGTCACCAGCTGGCAGTGTGGCTGTGTGACTAAGCATCCTGACTTCCCAAATATAGCATTCCTCTGGAGCTGCTGGCATTTTCTTCCCTCCTTTTTTTTTTTTTCTCTTCCTATATAATAAAGGCAAGCAAAGTAAGCAAAGTCATCTCCTGATGCTCCCCATGTTACTTCTTTTTCAGTTAAGAGGCTGCAGAACGGACCAGGCCAGTTATAGCCTTGCAAAGTTTCTGCTCTAAATCATTATGCTGGGACTCCATGGTCTTAGAAACCGTTTCCAGCCTTAACAATTCTGTGATCCCATGTTGGTCATCCACACAGGTGAAGCACAGGAGGATGAAGTGTTTTGCTCAGTGTCTGTACAACCTTCTCACCCTCCAGCACATCAGCTCTCCTGCCTACCTTGGTGTTCCCTGCAAACTTACTAAGGGTGCATTCAATCCCCTCATCCAGAGCATTGGAAAGGTATTAAACAGACCTTGATAAAGATATCAAACAGCTTCCTTGCCCTGATTGCTGTGGCTGAAAGGAGAAATCAGAGTTGGGCAGATGCTCCAACTCCCCTTGCAGCTTTGCCTGTAACACCATGTGCCGCTGAAGGGGACATGGAAGCAGCAGTGTTTGTGGGAGCTGCTCTGGTGTCAGGTGTTGGAAGGCAGTGGGTTTGGAAGGAGCAGGCCTACAACAGTGGAACACACCTCTCTGGAGCTGTCAGCCAGGTTTTGCTGTTCTCTGCAAATTGCTTTTTCCTGCTCCTTGCAGGGTTACCTAAAGCAGTGCCGGAAGAGGAGGGACATGTTCAGTGATGAACAGCTAAAAATCATCTTTGGGAACATCGAAGACATCTACAGATTTCAGATGGGCTTTGTCCGGGACTTGGAGAAGCAGTACAACAACGAGGACCCCCATCTCAGTGAGATTGGACCGTGTTTCCTGGAGCACGTGAGTGCTGCTGGCATCTTGTTTGGGACTTTGGGGGTTGGTTTGGGAATGGGGGGCTGTGGGTGGGGGTGGGAGGAGAAAAAGTCAGGAGGCAGGAACCACTCAGGGTAACTTTTGTGCGTCACAGTGTTCTGGTTACATATCAGGGACTACTCCATGGCTCTCCATCTGCCTTGTGAGATACAGAGGAGGGAGAACCTAGAGCATACAGCTGGATAGCCCCCAGTACATCTGAATCCCAGCACCTTTTCACATCCACCCTTAATCATGTTATGTAGGTGTGATGTCTCACCTACAGAACCCCCTCACAGGCCTCCTGGTCATGTCATGGGTGAGCAGAAGATTGGAGGAGGTAAGAAGGTTCAGAGAGGTGAAAAGAGGCCTTAATTGTGCATTACACAAGAAAAGTAGAGGAGAGCAGATGCCTGGGCTGTTTCCTGGGGCCCTGAGATGCACTTGCAAGGGATGAAACACCCACACATCTTCAGTTGCCCAGCCCATCCTCCTGTTCCACAGCCATGTACTACAGGAGCTGATAAATTGGCCAGTGTTGGGAACATGTCAGGAAATGTCAAGAAAATGACAGCCCTGCAGTTGAAGGCTTTCCTTGAGGGAGAAGGAAGGGTGGTATCAGAGCTCACAGGTGCTCCTGGGCTGCAGGTCCTGTGCTGGGTCAGGGCTGAGCTGGCAGTTGTTCATTTCCTGCTAGAGAAATTCCTGACAGACATTCCTGAAACTTCAGCAGGGCATCCCTAGAGGTTCACACATCTCTTAGGCATCGCTGGTCCTCTCCTTGAAGGCAGGTTTCCTCCTGAGCCAGGTGCATGAGGTGTTAACAGGCTTTAATCAGAGCCTGCAATCTCTGCTGCTCCTTCCAGAGCAGCATCACATTCCACCTCTGTGCCCAGAAGATGTTCGGAATCTTGGTGAGAATCAGTAGCTAAAATGTCATGACTTGAGGCTGTGCTGTCAAGTCATTGATAGTGACAACAGTAAGAATTGCTGCTGTTATTCAGAGGAAGATCTGAGACTTGCCTGTCGCCAGACAGGGGCTGAAAGCTGGCTGATAAACTCCTGATAAATGATCCCTGTTTAGCCATTTGGGGAAACTGAGGGATGAGGATGGTAAGATCCTGTCCATGGATCTGCAAAGCATTTTATTCCTCATTTGCTTCAGGAAGGGAGAGCTATCAGTGAATGGCTCAATCGGGGGGCTGGGAAGGACACCAGGCCTCCCTTGTTCCCAGAAGGGCAGGTTATTTGGGACCTCAGGGACTGAGAAATAAGAATTGCTGGGCAAGTGTGTTTTTACAAAAGAAAGTCTGTCCTTCTGTAGTTTGTAAGGCATTGGCCACAACCCGATGGAGCATCTCGGGATGGTCTACAACACCTGGGCTTTAGCTGGGCTGTCTCAACTGCACTTTACTTTGGAATGCTGGGCAGTCAGGTTATGTCCATCTCTGTTCCAGTGAAATTTTTCTGTGAACTTTCATTGCCTTGTCTGTGTGGCCCAGATGAATCAAGCCTGAGTTAAGGGTGAGGGCAGGTCTGTGGTCAGTGACGGCAGAAAAAGGAAATTCCAACAAAATTGGCACCAAAAGACTTATTAGACCAGTGCAAAAGGTGGAAGGGGGCACGTGTGAGTGGGTTTTTTCTTGGTTTTTCCATTCTTTGGTGCTTTCTGGCTCTCTGGCTCCGGGGAAATCCCCACAGTGGTTGGTGCCTCGGGGTCCCTGTTGGTAAAGAGAATTTCATTCATACCCAGCTCCTAAACTCTTGCCAGATGCTTTGTGATCTTTCAGGAAAAGAGCTCTAGAAAGGTTGTCGTCTTGTCTTAGCAAAATCTAGAGACCTTTACCTTTTCTGGTGAAAATACCATGGCACAATTTGAAACTGAGAACATCCACAAGGTTCCCAGTAACACACCTGCACCTGCAGGATCTCAGCCATGTGTGCAGGGCCCTCTCTGCCCCCTTCTCCCCCAGAGCAATCAGCACCCCCTCCAAACAGGAAGAGTACTCTGGGATCTGTCCTTCCTCCTGTGTAGGGTGTGCTTTCTTAGAACCCCAGACTGGTTTGGGTTGGAAGGGACCTTAAAGCCCACCCAGTGCCACCCCTGCCACAGGCAGGGACACCTTCCACCAGCCCAGGTTGCTCCAACCTGGCCTTGGACACTTCCAGGGCTGGGGCAGCCACAGCTTCTCTGGGCACCCTGTGCCAGGGCCTGCCCCCCCTGAGAGGGAAGGATTTCTCCCCAGTCTCCCGTCTCCCCCTGCCCTTCTCTGGCTGGGATGTGTTGTTGGCCAGCTGGGTCACCTGCCTGACGTGTCCCTGTTCCTCCACAGCAAGATGGATTCTGGATCTATTCCGAGTACTGTAACAACCACCTGGATGCGTGCATGGAGCTCTCCAAGCTGATGAAGGACAGCAGGTACCAGCACTTCTTCGAGGCGTGCCGCCTGCTCCAGCAGATGATCGACATCGCCATCGACGGCTTCCTGCTCACACCGGTGCAGAAGATCTGCAAGTACCCCCTGCAGCTGGCAGAGCTGCTCAAGTACACGGCCCAGGAGCACAGGTAACACCAGCCCAGGGCACGGGGGGGCTGCCAGGGCTCCTTTCCACACACAGGGCTCAGGGTTTGCTGCCCAGCTCCTCTCTCGGTGACATCCTTTGTAAATGGAAGCAGGGCAAAGGTTCAGCAGACAGTTAAAGCTTCTCAAAGCACCAATTCTCGATGGAGCGAGACTCATCCCTGTTATAATCAGACATGTGAACTAATTACCCTTGGATGTACTTTTCTGATGCTACCAGTTACACTGGAAAAATTACCTAATTAGCATTCAGTGGTCTGAAAGGCTCATTCCCTTCTCCAAAGGAGGACCTTGGCACACAGCAAGGGGAGGGCCAGGATCTGCAACTCCAGCCTGAACATGCTCCGATTTGGGCAGAACTCAAAATCTGCTCTGCTTTTCAACCTGATCCCATCTCTCATTTTGCCCTGGGCCTTGGGCTCAGAGGAGCACCTGCAGTTTGATTACTTCCCAAAATTTCCAGGATCTCTTTTGCTGCTGCTGAGGGCAGTCAGCCTGACTCCCTGACAACCTAAATCAGGAATGGGAGCTGTGTTATCATTTGTGACTTACTGCTGTAAAAATAAGGTGAAAGAAGAATCAGGCCCTCTAAGACTAGATTTGCTCCCACCTTGCCAATCTTCTTTCTTTTTCCAAAACCCATTTAAAAGTAGGTGCTTCTGAGAACAAAAAAGATCACAGATGTTTCAGAAACACTTCTTTGTTTTTCCCCAAACCCATCTCTAGAAGAGCAGAGATGTGATAGGAGCAGAGATGTATTGATTTGCACCCATGAGTTTGAATGCTTCAGGCTCGCTGAATGCCCTAAGCCACCAATTTGGTCACACCTTTGGCTCCAGATACAATTCCTGGTTTTCCCTCCGTAACAAGACCAAACCAAACTTGGAGTGGAGTCGTGGGAGCCTTAGGGTATCAGGAAGCAGCTCTGGGATCCCAGAGGTTGGGGGTTTTTTCCTCAGCAGCCATGTGATGACCCACAACACTGGTGGGAGCTCAGAAGTGGCCTCACAACAGGAGGGCAGGAGCAGCCTCAGAGAGGGGAGCTCTGTGTTTAAATTATGTGGTGACCATACCAAAGGGGATGTGGACAGTGGGATTACACAAGGGTTGGATTATTTGGGGAGTGCATTCCTGTTCCCTTGGGGACGTTTTAAATTGACCATGATGTTAAGTAATCACATACAGTCACATTCTGAGGAGACTTGGGGCTCCCCCATGGTTCAGCAGCAGTCAGTTGATTCAGACTGAGAGCTCTGTTTCACTGGATTGTGTCCATGACAGGACACAGCCATGGACATTTCATTTCTTGTTTCTCCATGTTTTGACAAGTGAAAGCAGGGTGATGTTCACTCACCCTGGTTAGAAGGAGTAACCCCTCCCAAAGCTATAACACAGCACGGGTATGAATCCCAGACTGCACAGAGCCCTGTGCTGTATCCCTGCCCTGGAGGAAGGCAAAACTCAGAGAGGTCCAGGATTCCCAGGGAGCTTCACCTAACAGAGGGACATGAAGTCTCTTTCTTTTTTTTTCATCCCTCTCACTAACACTGTGCCTGCAGAGCTGTGGATCTTGCCTGCACCAGCTCAGGACAGTAGCACCTAAACCTGACCACTGTCCCCCGAGTTTGCACATGGTGTCTGGCAAGAATCTAGACTTGCATTCTGATTGAGCACTGGATCTGATTGAGCACTGGAAAGTGGTCACTGCAGCCCCAATAGAATTGACAAACCATTTATTTACCTTCATTTCATAGTTAACAATATCCTATTATTACTTCACTGGCCAAATGCTTTGCTTCTGTTATTTTTTCTTTTAAGTTTTTGCCAGCTCTGCCACAGACATGGGCTGGGAGCCCAAAAAGTTCAGTCCTCACTCTTTCTTCATTACAGCGTGAAAGAAAAACATGCATGGGGTTTTCCCATTGGAATTAGGGAATTAGCATTCCCAAGATAAACCCAGCTTGGCTGGCACCGGCCCACTCCATGTGGAGGCAGGACCGGGGTGCTCAGAGCCTGGCTCCCTTCAATTGATTCTTGTTTTGAGACTGGTTCATTTGAATTTTTCACAAAGCCACATCTGTTCACCTCTTAAAGATTTACTCCAGTTTAATATGAATTAAATATATGAAGGTCCTAAGTGCAGCTTGCTGGTGTCCTGAGCATTCCCACTGAAAACTGAGCTGGAGTTAAAGAGTGTAGGAACATGTTCTGTGAGGAGACTCTGCTAAGGAGTGCACTGTCATTACCCTCCCTTCCTTGTGTGGGCATAATTGCTAGGAGATTATGAGTGAGTGTCTGTAAACCCTGCACCTCTGCCTGCCTCTGCACATCCTTTGTGGCCATAGTGACTTCCCTGTTTCCCTGCAAGAGCTCGTGGATGTTTTGTGGATCGCCCTGGCCCGGCTTTGTTCCTCCCGTGCACACAGACGGCCCCACAGAGGGAGGCACAAGGAGTTCATTGTGTGTCATCACCACTTCCAGCCCTGGAATTGTCCAAGGCCAGGTTGGACAGGGCTTGGAGCAACCTGGTCTACAGGAAGGTGTCCCTGCCCAGGGCAGGGTGTGGAATGGGATGGGCTTTAAGGTCCCCTCCAAGCCAAACCATCCTGGGATTCTGTGATGGATATGTCAGGCAGCCATCCTCTGTCCTCCTTTGCTGAAGGACCAGTCCTGCTGTTCTGGAATTTGTGGGATTTTTGGTTTAACCTCAGCTAGAATTTTGACATAAGAACTGAAGAGAAATTAAAAACTCATCCCAAGTTTTCATCCAAGCAAAATAGCAGGTAATCTTCTATTGTATATCACAGTGAGATTGTTTCTTAATATTTATCCTGTTGGGATCACATGGAGAAGGCATCTAATTCCCAGCATTCACCCCCATTTTAGCTGTCACCAGTGCAATCCTTAGCAATAATCAATAAAGCCATTCCCCCTGCAGCTGCCCAAGCTGGCAGTTTTTCTCATTAGTCAGCAATCAATAGCAGCCCTTAAGTTAATAATACATTATGGTGGCATTGTGGCAGCTGGCCTTGCCCGTCTTCCCAATTGAAATGAACATTACAGCTCCTTGGAATGGAAAAGGAGGCACAGGGCAGAAATCAATAGCATTGATTTCAGCCTCACTTTTTGAAAAGACTGATCATCGTCCTCGCTGGCCCTGGCAGGAGCCTCTCTCACTCCGTGCTGCTGCATTCACAGGCCCATATGGGGAGAAAGAAAGATTTTGCCTTGATTTGCTCACCTGAAATCTGCAGTAAGAGTGAATTCCATGGGATAAGTGCTCTGGGGCACTCTTGGAGCCACTTTATGGCCTGGGAGGTGCTTGGTTCATTGTCCAAATGAAAAATATTTTCTGGTGTTCGTTTTAAAAATGGAAAAATCCAGGCCCGAAGGCCCAGGCTGTAGAAATGTTCAGGCTGTCTTTTAGGATGCCCTTTAGCTGAGCTGTTGGGTTGGTAGAGGCCAGGCTGTGCTCACTGCACCCATGGAAGCAGCTGAGGAGCTGGGCTGGCTCCCAGGTCCAGTTCCAGCTCAGCTGCTCCCTTGTGATGCTCCAGTCATGGCCGATGGAAAACCCCGGTGTCGTAGCGCTGAGAGGCAAACCCTTCCCTGTTTCCCTGTGAGGGGTGGTGGGATTGGGCTGCTGCTGGGGTTGATGGACTCCTGTGCACGTGTCACGGCCTCTGGTGTGTGTTCTCCACAGTGACTACAGGTACGTGGCCGCTGCCCTCGCCGTCATGAGGAACGTGACTCTGCAGATCAACGAGCGGAAGCGGAGGCTGGAGAACATCGACAAGATCGCTCAGTGGCAGGCCTCTGTCCTGGACTGGGAGGTACAGTGACGTGGTGCTGGGAACCTGGGAAAAGCCAATTCCAGGCAGTTGTTGCATTATCTAACAGCCTGTAGTTCATATCACACAGCCTGGTCTTGAGATTCCTGGGACAGGGAAGACACATCCACAAACTTCCGAGTGGGACTTAAACATTAATGACACTCTAAAGAAAATCTGGGATCCAGTTCCAGTTTCATCAGTAGAAACCTGGAGTAGCTGTTGTGATTGCAGTGGTGGTAGTAGGTGAGATTTGGATCAAACTGTGTGTGCGTTCTGGCTCTGTGCTGTGTCACAGGGGAGGAAGTCGGGAAAGAGGTGGCAAAGAGCCCTGGAAATTGTGACAGGTTAAGAAAATGGAGAAAATCCTTCTGGTGATTGCCTTATGATTGGAAGCCAAACTGTTAAGCTGGAGTCAGAGATGGTATTTGCATTTTACAAATGACTTTGCACTTAAAGATATTTCCGAAGCAGCCCCGTGTGTAGTGATGGTGTAACTGGGGAGCTGAGAGGCACAGGGAAGGCAGAGTCAGCAGAAGGATTCCTCACCAGCAGGCCTTCAGTCTCTACATTTGTGTCATGTGGTTTTGGATTTTTTTTTTAAAAATACTAAAATTATGTTCTCCTTTTCCTGTTGTCCCTGTTTTTTTTTTTTTTTTTTAAGTCATTGTATGCAAGTAATCTGTAAATAGGGTTTGGAGGCAGACGGAGGGCAAATGTTGCTGTAAATCCTCCCGGTGTTGACAGCGGTCCATGTGTTCAGTGAGCTGGTAGTCAGAGTGATGGAGCAGCCTTTCTTCCTCCTCACAGTTGGGAAGATCTGAAATAACTCCACATTCCAGTCACTGGGATCATACTGTGTAAATTAGTGTATGGGAAGAGGCGTTAATCCTTTAGTTTTATTTCTTTTTCTGGAGAAGATCTGTGAAGGCTGGGGAGAGAGGGAGAGAAATGCAAGTGCTTCACCTTCTGACTGCATGTCCTCCCCAGCTGAATTAGTTTCATTGCTGTAATGAATGTTGGGTTCAGCCCTGGATCTCGTGATAGAACACATAAATGCAGCAGTCAGAGCTGGGTGTGGAGTTAAGGTGGCTGGGAGAGCAGAGAGCGCAGATGATGTGTTTGATTGTTTTACTGTTGTAAACATCTCTCACAGCTCTCACTGACACACATGCTCATTTTGAGAATGAGGAAAACTGCTCTCAAGGAGGCACAGGACCATCAGCTCCATCTTCAGCCTTCAGAGTGTGCCATGGGATGAGCTGATGGGGGTCATTTGTAAGAAATGTGGAGCCCCTCACTGCAAATAAATCTCGATTAAGGGCAGATGAATTCCAAGTCAGTGAATATTCATGTGTGAGTGGAAAGCCAAGGTGACCCCCACATAGGATCTATGGAATAGCAGTTTCTTTTTCTCTTCCATTAGCTCAGCTGATAATTCATTTTTGTTCAGCCATATCCTTGATAATTCATTCCTGCTTAGCAGTACCCATTCTTTATCCCCCTCCTATCCCCAGGAACTTGCCAACTCATTCTTCCAGGCTTTTTTCAACTAGTCCACATTTTGAGCACATTATTGCAGCAACATCCTTCCACTTCTCATAATATAGCAAAGCCTGCAGTTAGTTCTGCTGAGAGATCCTGTGGGAATACAGAGCTGCCCCAGGTCAAAGGAAAACACCCTTTCTGCCTCTTTCATTCTGTCTTTCGGATTAAGAGGAGGCACAGAGTTTTGATGAGAACATGAGAGGATGAGAGCTGGACCCAGCAGAGGATTTCACGGCTTGATTCTTCCCTCTCAAGTCATTGTGAATCATCGGATGCAGCCCCCACTCCCATCTGTCCACGGGATGGCCAGAAGGATGCACAGAAACCCCAAATACCCAGGAGTGAACCGTTGTGCAATGCAGGAAGAGAGTGGGAGAAACCAAAAGTGGTACCAGATGCTTGGATCCAGCCTAGATCTGTGCAGATGCTCTCCTTGGGCACTGCAAACCCACACCCCACCCAGCTGTGGGGCACATCCCCCAGGACTCAGGACACTGGGGCTGGTTCCTTACCCAGTCCATGAGGGAGGGTTCACTCATCCTCTGTGCTTGGCCACTTCAGGGACCTCCTGGTGCGTGTCCCCAGCCTGTGCCAGGCTGTGGGCAATGGGCATCTCCAGCCTGAGGAGACACAACTCCCAGTTGGTCCTTGATGGAGGACCCCGAGCAAGGGAGGGCCCCCTGTCAGCGCTGTGCCCGCTTACCCACGGTGTGAAGTGCTCCCTGAAGCAGGGAGGAGAACCCACAGAACGCTCCCAGCTTGCTGTGGCCCCGTTCCTGCTCTGATCAGTGTCTGCACCCCAAACCAAAACTTGTTGTGCTCTTTCTGCCCCTTGTGGTGTCACACAGAGCAGGCAGTGGAGCATCACCCAGGGTGCACAGCTCAGCCTTCCTGAGACACCTGAAAACAGCACTCAAAGAAAAGCAGGAAAACAAGAAAGCAATCAGGAGAAAAAATTATCAGTTCAGACTTTTTTTCCCCAAAATCCAGCCAGGGCACAAGACAGAGCTAATCCCAAATTCCCACTGCATGTGGCACTTGGTGATTTATTTCAGTGGCTTAAATGTCTCAGCAAGTAGAAATCTTTAATTTGGAGAAATATCTGGTTTTCCTCAATATCTTGAGACTTACGAGGTTGATTATCTTATTTGAAATCGCTTTTTCTTGTCTAAATTTACCCACGTTTTGTGATGAGATGGAAAGAAGTTGTGGGGTTTTTTTTAAAAAAGAAAAAAATCCAAACCAAACAACAAATATTTAGTGAGTGAATATTTGAAATGTTCTTGTGTACAAAGTGCGTATACATGTTTTCTTGCAAGGAGAGGATGTGTTTGGGAATGCATACACATTGCTGATCCTAAAACAAATGGGAGGAGTAGGGACATGTCCAAGCTGATTTAAGCAGAGAGATTTTACTGAGTGCCATGGAGTTGTGTCTCTGTGTTTCAGGAATTCCTTTTATCACTCAAGACTTTTTGCATGTTCCTGAGAAAGGGAATTTCAGGATGAGCATTTGGAAACTGCAGATATCCTTGAGTTAACCAAGGGCAGAGGTTTTCCACAAAAAATCATGCAAGCAGGATCTGATGGTTTAAATTGCCATTGGGATCAGGAAAGGGCGGCCTGATGTGAGGGGCAGCTGATAAGCTTTGGCAGCCAAGACATGAAGTCTTAAGGAATTATTGGCAGCTTTGGCAGCTTTAGACAAGTAATGACTGAGCAAAATCTTAAGGGAAGATTCCGATCTCACTGACTGCTGTAAATTAGAAATAATCCCAATCACTTTGAAATGTGTTCCTGTAAAATTTGTGGGAACGTGGGCTTGACCAAAAAGCTCGGCTTGGTCTGTTGCCACGGATGACTCACTTCTTTATTTTGTAACCTGAATTTCCCAGTATATAAACAGACCCAGAGAGGTGCTGCCCCTGCCTACACCAACCCTGCCATGCCTTTTGTGCTTTGAGCTGTCAGTGGTGCAGAATGTGGGGCTTCCACCACCTCCTGCCGAGCCCTTTTGCTGCCTGAGAGCTCTCGGTGTTATGAAGTGTTTCCTGATGCTCAGAGTCATCCCCTGGCTCGTGGTTAAACACCCTCAGATCAAAACAGGGACAGTGACAGGCAGTGAGGCAAAGCAGCACTCAGAGGTGCTGGAGCAGGTTCAAACAGGGCCCCTCCTGGGCAGCCTTTGCTGCTCAGCCCCATCTGCTGCTCCCACCCTGCGAGAGCCGCACGTCTCCAGGGTTAGTGGGCAATAGCTGGAGAGATGCACACACAGCAGCATTAGAAAGACACTTCCACAAAGCCCAGCATCGTGTCCAAGTCCTTGCCAGTCCTGGTTTGGGCAGGGCTGTATTTACACCACACAGCTGAGGCAGTGGTACAGCCCTGCCTCGCTTCCTCTCTTCTCCTGTGCTGTGGCAGGAGCGTGTTCACCTCTCTGGTGCCCTCCCTGTGGATCCTGGGAGCCTGTGGAGCCGTGGGGACCCGTGTGCCACCATGCCCAGCTCCTTCAGGCTCTGCTGCCGGGCAGGATTTGCCATTTCCATTGGCATGACCTACCAGAACCTCAGAGGCAGCTGCACCCTCACCGAGTGCCTTGTGTGGATGGTGTGGAGGTGGAAAGTAGGTCTGTGCTTCAGCACACCTCAGGACTGCTCAGTGTCCTGCCTTTTCACACAGCTCTTCAACCACACCAAACCAAAATGAAGCAGCAGTCCTGCAGCAGTCCCTGCCCTCATGGCAGCTTCCAGAAACCCTTTCCTCCCTTTCAGTCCAGGTTTTTCTCAGAGTGGGGGTATGATATGGCTCCCATTCCCTGTCAGGGGACTGGGAGGTCCCTGAGCCACTGGCAGGATGTTTGGCACAGGACAGAGCCTTGCTGATGAGCCTGGATTGGTTTTAACTTGCTATTCAAACAAATTACTTTATGTAGCTCTCTGGGTATTTCTACCAAAGATTCCCATGGGTTGCCACTATGGCAGGTTTCAAGAGTATCAAATTTACATGAAGGGAAAAATATATATAATTGAGACATGTAATGAGTGCTGTCCTTTTAAATGTCTTCCCATTCTTGTTATTTACGGGTCCTTTAAATCAAGAGTTGCTGCCCTTAATTATGTAATCCATAACCGTTGGCCTCAGCCTAATATTATGTTAGTGAATCCAAGAGTGACATGAGAGAAAGCTGCATGTAACCAGCGTGCTGCTTGGAAAGCAGGGACAGCCTGACGAGAAATCCTCCTGGGAGAAAAATCATGTCAGGGACTGAAATACAGCCTTCTTTTTAATTCTTCTTTTTTTTTCCCCCTCAGCAACAGAAGGTATCAAAACTGAGCCTGTTGAAAAGGACAACATCTCGCTCATGTTCCTTTTTCTGATCTCTGAGTAGCCCCGGGTGCTAATCAGCCTGTCAGTCTCTAATTGCAGAACAGCAGTGTCAGGCAGGAGAGAGCCCTGCTCATCAACTGGGAGCTGGGCAAGGGCACAGAATCTCCTCACAGTGCCCAGCAATGACAGCACAGGGGCCGTGGCAGGGTGGGCTTGGGCACTGGGGGTGGGTCTGGTGGGCTCATGAGCATTCCTGAGCATTCCCAAGCCCAGGGAAGTGTCTGCTCAGGGCTGGCTCGTGAGAGGTGGAACAGCTCCCTTCCTCGATGTGTGGGTGCTCCCCACACCCTTTGTTCCACCACACTGTTCAAACCCCTCTGGTCCCTGCCAGTTGCTCCTTGCAGAGCGTGGTGGTCGCTCCAGCACAACTGGGGGGCTGGGGATCCACGTCTCTCTGAGGCAGCAGCAGCAGAGCTGACCCTGTGCTGTCAGTCAGGAGTAGCCCTGGGACTGTGTGTGTCACTGCAGGCTCGAGGGAGCATGAAACACTCATCCAACCCAGATCTGGGTGACCTTCTGCTCCCATTACTGCTCACGAAGGAGCTCTGCTGTGACTGCATGAAGAAGAGAGGAGTCAGCTTTCTGTCGGCTGCCCTTTGGATGCAGCGGGATGTGCAGGGAGGATGTGTCAGGATGTGCACTGAAAACCCTTGGTGCAGCTGGGGAGAGCTGAGGGTTTTGTTAAAGGCTTATGGGACAGAACTCAGGTTGGACAAGGCCTCAGGAGGTCAGCCAGTCTCCTCTTGGCCATTCTGCTGCTGTGCTCTGCTGAAGTCAGGAGAAATCTGCCTCTTCAGTGGAACTAAAAGTTCAACCTCTTCCTTTTTTAGCAGGGTTTCTCTTAATTTACATGAGGATATAAATGATCCAGCCTCTCTAGGAGTTAGGAAAAAATTGAAAAGAAAAAGGAAATTTTTTCCTAGTTTTGTACAGAACTGGGGGGATCCAGGCCTGGGACTGGGAGAGTCATTTGGGAAAGCCTGCCTGGATTCAGGCCCATGGATCGAGGCATGCTGGGGGAGCCACAGTGGCAGTGGAGCTGAAAAACCATCATGCCCCTTCTTGCTGCCATCCTGCAGCTGACCCCTGAGCTCCCAGAAGGGACACCCCACCTACAGGAGACAGTTGATGCTGTTCAGATGTGTTTGACTGTCAGGAAAAGAACAGCCTTTCAAGGTTCTCTGGTTCTGCTGGAGGCTCTGGCTGGTGAACTGGCACAGCAGCCGAGGCTGGAGGAGCAGGCAGGGCTCTGGACATGCTGCTCATGGCCAGCCATGTGCTAGTCCCACAATATTTGCAGTATGTGTTTTCCAATTTGCTAACCCAGCATGGGAAATCAGCTATTTCTAGCCTATAGACTGTATATATAAATTGTTTTCCCAACATAAGAAATGCAATACAAATCCCATCATTTCGGATCTGAATGTTTTTGGGTTATGTTGCTTGCAGGGACTACACAGTTTGGATTCAGCTAATCAAGTAGAAGTGCTTACAGAGTCCTCTGCGTGTCCTCAGGCTTCAGTTGCTACCACAGGAGTAAAAGACAAAAACTGGCTTTCTATTTTTAGCAGCCAGCCTCTCCTAAGCTCGCCCCTTCTCCTAAAGCTCCCATCCCTAGGCTTGTGGGAATCTTCTTCATAGAAGCTCATGTTCAGCCAGGAAAGCCCATCATTTCTAGAGCCAGTGTGTTTTCTTCAGAGGCTTCTTGTTCGAGGGCTTGTGCCCCCCTGAGCTGTGGCAGCAGCACTCGGGTGCCCGGGTTCTGGGCAGGAGGTGCCCCAGCTGGACCCTGTCACCCCCCTGCTGAGACACCGTGTGGAGCACGGCCCATCCCTCCGGGGACTGACCCTCTGTGTCCCTGGAAGTTATCCCTCATTAGCCCTTGGGATAGCACAGCCAGAGAAGAGGCTGAGAGGAGGATAAACCCCTGGCCAGGTCTGTGCTGCAGGGTGGTGATGCAGTGACTTAATGGAGTTGCTGTTGTCACAGGGCCCAGGGACACAGGCGGTCGCTTCCAATCAATGCTGAGAGGTTAATTACACATTTACCTGAACAGCAGTCTGAAATCCTCACCGAGGAGGAGGAGTGGGGGTGACTCCTGGCTGCTTTGGCACCTGCAGCTGTGAGCAGCACCAGAAGCGTGTGTCTATCTGGAACCCCCCCATAGCTGGCTGAACCTTTACAAGCTGTTTGCTGAGGTTTGGGGGTGGTCTTGTCCCAGAAATCGGTTCCAGTTTGGTGTCAAATCCAGAACTGCAGTAGTTTAGGAGCAAAAAAAAAAAAGCTCTTTTACCGTCTCCTGAATCCTGCTCCTTACCTTTCAGCTGGAGTCATCCCGCTTCCTTCTGCGGTGTTCCACTGAGATGCCCACAGGGCAGGTGGTGGTGAATTCACCCATTTTTAATAAATAGATTTTAATTAACTTTTTAAAAAGTCCAGCTCATTCCAATTAGTGGAGGGTGACTGCATTTGTTCTCTCAGAGAGTGGGAGAGAGAGCTCTGTGTTTTCAAGACCATCTGCTCATGAATCCTTAAAAAAAAACTGGAGAGGAAAACAAGCGTTAGCCGGAGGCAGGGAAGGGTGAGGGCACTCCAGCAGCCAGCCAGGGAGGCCTGGCCAGCTGGGAGGGCCCGAGGCTGCCAGAGGAGCTGGGGTGGTCCTGACAGGTTTTTGGAGATGGGGAGCTCTAATGAGCTATGGGAGAAAGGACTGTCATTGCCTGGATGAGTGGGAAGAGAAGCAACACTCCAGAGGGGTGAGTTCTGGCAGCCTCATGGGTGGGGAACTGATATCCCAGTTTGACGGCTTTGAGATTTGAGATGGCTGGCCTGAGATTTCAGGACAAAAAAGGCTTTGGGATGCTTGTTTTAAAGGGAGGAGGTGCAGGGGATTGGTTACCCCGAATACAAAGTGCTGTTCTGGGCAGCAGGAAGGGGCTTTGCTTGCCAGATGCCACCAGCACCTGCAGCGAGATCAGGGTCTGGGGGTACCTGGAGAGGGCAGTGGGGCAGTGTCTGGAGCAGCTCATTCCCTGCTGGAATGTGAACTGCAGTGACTGTGCTTTGAGTGTCCACACTCACTTCATTTATTCTCCTTCCTTCAGAGTTATCCCCTAACCCCTATTTCTGGTCCAAAGTCAGATGGGCTGGCTTTGGGAGCTGCAGAAGGGCCAAAATCTTACTTAGTTATTGCTTCTCCCCATCCTGCAAAGAGAGATATGTCCACTGCCCTGGCTGGGAGCAGTGGCTCACTCGGCCTCGTTCTCTGTGCCCTCCAGGGAGATGATATCTTGGACCGCAGCTCGGAGCTGATCTACACGGGGGAGATGTCCTGGATTTACCAGCCTTATGGACGGAACCAGCAGCGAGTTTTCTTTCTCTTTGATCACCAGATGGTTCTCTGCAAGAAGGTAAGGACATGGCTAAGGGCATGCTGCAGACAGGCTTGCCAGTCCAAAGTGGTTTTTAGGGCAAGGTGGCTCTTTGCTGCATGTGCAGAAGAGGATGTGGATAGCACTGAGGAGGGGCAATCCACATGCTCAGAATACTGATTTATGGGATGGTGAGCATACTGGGATAGAGGGATTTTTATGCTCATAGCAAATCCAGCCTTCACTTGTTCACTTCATGCCTTTTTCTCATGTGCCCCTGTTTTGGCTCGTTGCCTCACTTCTCCTTTTAGGTTTTGGCTGCAGCACATGATCTGGGATTAGATAGCCCTGGAATTCCTGCAGAACTACAGAGCCTGGCACTTGGGCCGACAGCTCAGTTGCTGCATTGAGACGATGATCAGCAGCTCAGTCTGTGCAGGGTGTCTGTGCTGGCACTTGGGCAGAGGCATTTTAAGCCTCATCCTCATGTCTCTGCTGGGCTGGGTTTCACAGGGCACCTCTGCCACGAAACCCATCAAGAAGGTCGGGATGCAGTGCAGGATGCTGGTGCTGATGTGCTGCAGTGTTAATAGCAGCAGGTGAACTGTGTTTCAGAGCAGCTCTGTTCAGCAGCAGCACAGTATCCACTAAGGTGATCCCAGCTCATTGCCCTCCCAGCTGTGCCACACGAAGGGACAGAGCACATCAGTCCTGTGTGTGACACCGTGGGATTCAGTGACATTCAGTGCAGCCACACAGAGAACTGTGCAGGGGGAGTCCCCAGGTCTGGCTTCAGTGGGACATGTAGAGCTGTGCTCCTGTCACAGCCTCAGGGCTCAGGACAGGCTGAGCAGCCCCTCTCGGTGTGCCAGCCCTCCAAGGAGGGCCCTGGCACCGCAGGAAGCGGCGAGGGAGGAGGCGTGGGAGGCTCCTGACTCACCGCAGCATCACTGCCCGCTCGGCGGCCTGTGCAGTGCAGTGGGTGGCACTTTCTTCTCCTGAGTCATGGTTGACTGAAATTGTGCCTTCTGGAATGCATGTGCTTGTTTTTCCCCTCCTCGTTGCTGTGCCTTTTACTCCTGGCCTGGCTCTGCACAAAAATAACCACAGAGCAGCAGTAACCGGGTCCGACGGTCAGAGCTGGCACGGTGAGTCTGGAGGTGCACAGCTGGTTTCAGTTTTAATCTTGACCTCCCACACTTTGATTGTGACCTGAATTTCCAATTCACAAGGCAGCATCCAGCTTGGCTTGCACTGGGTCTGGTCCAGAGAGGTACAGAGTGCTCCTGGAACTCCGGGAAAACCGTGGCTGGGATTTCCGTGGTCATCAGCATGAGTGGAGAGCGTTCAGCAATTCACAGTGGGCTGTGGGGGCCTGGCAGGCTCCATCAGTATGAAAACAGCACTAGTGGGACACTGCCCTCCCTCTTTCATCATGCAGAAGGCCCTTTGGGGGAGTGGTGCTGCGTGAGATGCTGCACAGGGAAACACCCGGCAGATTGGAACGTGGGGCCGGGGCCTGCCTGGCAGAGAGACCGTGTGGGTGTTGGGGCAGGAGGGGAGATGAGGTTACAGCTGGACTCTCCCATGATCATGCCTTGCTTTAACTTTATTGGGAATGATCGTCCCAGTATGGAATTCAGAGGAGCGTTAGCTCACATTTTGGGATCCTGAATCCCACATAAAATAAATCGGAATGATTTATAGCCTATGCTGCCTTGACCCTCGCGTCAGGCTGTGCTGCACAGATCCCAGCAGGCAGGATCAGCTCTGCTTTAGAGCCAGAGCACCGTGTCTTGGGGCTTTCTTAGTGAGGCACCATTTACCTCATGGTGTGGGAAGTTGGAGCCAGCCTGTTTCAAACCCCCTGCTTTGAAATTATCCTCTGAGGGAGATGAAATATGACCCACATCCCCCAGAGCAGCTTTGGTACCGCTTATGATGGCCCATCTCAGTGAATCTTCCTCTTCAGAAGATTTTCTGCATTTGTGGGTTTTCTTCAGATATAATAAATCAGTAGGTATGATACATCCTTCACCATGATACAATCTATATGAGAATACTTATTTTTTTTAATTATAGTGGTTGAATTTTATCTCTTTATCAGTCAAAAGAGATTTTTAATAGAAACAAGGAACTAAAACTGATTCCTTATTTAAATATGCCACAGATGCTTCAGTTTGATGAGGGCTTGCTAGATATCCTGAGAGGCTCTAGAAGACGAGCACATATTTCAAACAAGATCCCCCACTCCTCCAGACCTTCATTTCAGTTACCTGCACATCATCCTCACCTCCATTACCTGTGGTCTCCTTGGCAGATGTTTGCAGCTGCAACGGCTCTGTGCTCTTGCATCCCCTGGGAATGCACGTGGATTCCATGGTTGCAGAGGGTGATTCATGAGTTCCTGATGGAAAACAGTTCTGTATCCTAAGCTCTGTGACAGTTTTGGATGTTGGTATTCTCTGTCATTGCCTTTGAAACTCCATTGTCTCCAAACCTTGTTCCACAGTGGGCTCACAGTGCCCAGTCTGGCAGGTTCCTGCTCACAGCTTGTGCAGTGGAAGATGAGGACATTTTATGTGGCAAACCTGGCTGGAATCAGCGTCCCTCCTGTAGGCCAGGGTGAGGTGTTGGTGTTTGCTGATGTACCAGTAGTCTGGGAAGATGGAGTATGAATTCCTGTGCTATCTGGAAGAGAGCCAGTGAAAGTCAGTTTTTCTTTGGCTGCAGAAATTTGAGCAGCATTCTGGTCCCAGCCCTCCAGAGTGCTGGCTGTCAGTCCCAGGAGGACCCACTGTGACCCTCATTGTGTTTGTCCTGCTGCTGGTCCCCTGGGTTTGTGTTGCTGTGCTACTGGATTGCTGCTGCACCCAGGCACAGTGATAAAAAATGCTCTCTGCAGCCAAGGTACCAACTCCTTCTGTGCCCCTTAGTTCAGATGAGTGCTCTCTGCAAAGTGTCATGTCCCCCACCCCCACGGAAGTTTGGGTTTCTTCACGGCAGTTTTGCTGTCAGTGACCAGCAGAGATTGCTCTGGTTCAACCTCTTGGTGTCCTCTGTGTGGCTCCATGGACAAGGCACAGTACACATTCTCAAAAATCATCTTGTTTCTGCCATTCTCCTGCTGCCTTGGGTTTGGTCTAGCAGCAGCTTGCCCGGGAAGGTTTCATCTCCTGTCGTGTGCTCCCAGGATTTACCATGTTTCTGTTTCCCACTGACCCATCCAGCGTTGCCTGTGTCTGAGGGACATGGTCTGTTGGCTGAGGAGGTATTTCTAGCGTCCAGCTACCTGCTTTCAGCAGCAGGTAACATATTTCCAAATAACCCCATCTGCTTTGCTCATGGCCTGCTTTCCAGAGCCTTTGCCATCCATTTCTGCTGTTGTCTGAGAATGTTTCAAGGTTATGGGGCCTTTTTTTTTTTTGTTGGACACCTGGCCAAGGCATTTCTGTGAGGGAGGATAACTCTCATGTGATTCTTTCTGACATTATCACCTGGTTGTTCCCTGCCTGATACACCTGCAAGCCCATCAGCAGTGCCAGCTCAGCCCTCTGACAGCCAGGAGCTCGCTGATCAGCGTTCACTCTGTTTGTTGGTTGTTCCCAAATGTTTCAAGCAAGGCTTCAGCACCTGCCTGGCCCTGGGGACTCCTGGGTGTGCACAGATCCCTGCAGGTTGGGACCACCCCTTGTATCCCCTGCTCTCTGGTCTCATACAGGCGGGTGGCTTGGGCTGAGAGCTGCCGGCGGGAGCAGCTCCTTGAACCTGAACATCCTTGTTGTCTCTCACTGGCTGTGTCCCAGGATTTTCCCAAGGGCTTTTGCAGTGTGAGCTGATCCGAGGGTTTGTCCTTTCTGAGCAGCTGGTGTCGGTTTGTTTGCACGTGAAGGTCCAGGTGTTAGTGTGGTCACTGACGTGCCTGTTGAACTCTCTGACTGTGTCCGTGTGACTGTCAGAAACTGGCCATTAATACAGTTCAGCTGTCAGGACAGGAGTGGTGGCACTGGTGGGGTCCAGTGGCCAAGCTCAGCCCTTTCCCTGGCTGCCTGTGTAACATCCACTGCCTCAGGCAGAATTCCCAAATGCATTTCCATGACACCAGGTCTTCAGAGACCCGGTTGTGAAGACGTGTGATCACCGAGGGCCACATTCAACTGTGCTTGGCAGGTGTTATTTCCGCTAGTGGGGGTATCTTTAAGTCTTTCTTCCAAGCTGGAAACCTGCACTAAGATTTCCAAGGGCTGCATGCAGCCTGCACCGTGCAGGCAGCTCTCACTGCTGCCAAACGTCTTGCAAAGAGACTTGTGTGGGATGATTTTCACAAAACTGTTTCTGAGCTTTACAGATAAATCCCTTTGGTTTAGACTTGGCCATCAGACACAGCACTGGTCACTTCCTGACATCACCACTGGATTATTTCCTGGTGCCAGGAACTGAGGAGTTAAATTAGATGAAATGGCCATGCCAACTATTTCAGGCTTCAATAAACTGAATGCTGAAATACCAGTTTGGATGCCACAGTTGCTGATCCAGAGCCCCTGGGAGAGCTCAGGATTCAGGTTTGCTTTGCAGAGCCAGGTAACTTCCAGCTGTTGGATTCATGTCAGTCTCCCAGTGAATTTCCTGTCCATGTGTCCTGAGCCAGAGGGTGGGACATTGCCGTGTGCCTGAGGCCAAAGCAGTGGCTTCTCCAAAGAGTTTGGATGCCCTAATGCAGAGCTGCCTTTTGGGAAGGCAGGGGGAATAGAGTGGGCAGAAAGCAAGCCCTGGCCTCAGTGTGCCTTGCCATGCGTGTATCATAGGAGAGGAATGCATATTCCAGCATGCTGACCATAATTACCAAGAAATGAAGGCAATCCTTGATGATGGCAGCATAAAAGATGTTGCCTTAAAGGCACAGGGTCCACTTTCCTCATCACCCTGAAGCTGAGAGAGTTTGACACAGAGATGCTTTAGATTTGCAAATCGTGGGACTTAACATCCAGGCCTGTGACACACAGCATTAATTATGGTCACAGCCTGTTCTGCTGGGGATA